CCATCCCCTCTTTTTTTTTTTTTTTTTTTACTGTACTATTTCACTTGTGTTACCTTTTCTTCTTTATTTTTCTCATAGGTGTCTAATAGGTTGTTGAGGTGTCCAACAATCATTTTTTAATTTAAGAGAGCGCCAGCAAAGATTTAGTCAAAGGAATCTCCAAATCATATACAGAATAACAATGCCAGGATTGAGTTATGAACATGGCATTCCACATAGCAGACAATGTTTGCAAAAGGACTCAGAAAACATGTAGTCATGAGAAAAGAAAAAAGAGGATAAAATATGTATATATATATATATATAATTTCCTCAGTGAAAATCTCAGAACTATGTCCCAATTTATACAATTGAAGAAAGTAAGTAATGAGAAGCAAAACTATCAAGGAAACACCCTCAAGCAGATTCAACTGAGTTTGGACTTTTAACCTCTAATAGTTTGTCCCAAACAAAAGTATCTTGGTAATTATCTACCAGATAAAACAGTGGCTGTTCCCAAGGAGTAAGTAGATGTACAATCCACATTGCTGGACACAGAGGTCAACAACCTAGCCAGATTCCTATGATCTGCAGGGTCTTCATCAACAGCAAGCAAATCAACAAGAATCATTCTTGAGCCAGGTGGCTCATCCACCCTCACACGCCCCTCAAGCATATCAACCACTTGTGCCATGCTAGGCCTCAACCTTGGCTTCTCTTGTATGCACCACAATGCAACATGCACCAATCTACTCACCTCACTCTCATCAACACCCCTTCCCTCCACCAACCTACGATCCACAATCTCCATCAACTTCCCCTCCCTCACTTTCTCATTCACAATCTTGGGAAAAAACTCCCACTTTTTCTTGCTCTTGTCCCTCGGATCCTCCACCCTCGACACATTCCTCCTCCCTCCAATTATCTCCAACAAAACCATCCCATAGCTGTAAATATCAGTTTTTTCCGATACCCCTCTTTCCAAGAGCCACTCAGGAGCCAAGTACCCTCTTGTTCCTCTCATGGTTGTCATAACCTGACTCACATCCTTGCCAACAAGAGTCGAGAGGCCAAAATCCGAAACAAGAGCTTTATAATCCTCATCCAAGAGTATATTCTCGGGCTTCACATCGAGGTGCAAAACCCTCCTCCTACAATCATGGTGAAGATAAGACAACCCTTTGGCAACATCAATAGCAACCTTGTACCTTAAATTCCACGGCAAACACCCACCTTTCCGTGCATGGCTATTATTTTCCCTCAAGGGAAAGATCCAACAATCCAAAGACCCGTTTGGGATGTACTCATAAACAAGGTACCTAGGCGCTGTGTGGGAGTTACAATAACCAAACAAGCGTACGAGGTTGACATGGTGCACGCTTGCAATGGCTGCAACTTCTGATCTGAACTCCTTCTCCCCACGCTCCTCACCGTCGATTCTTTTCACTGCAACAGAAGTTCCGTCGCTGAGAATGCCTTTGAAGACCGAAGCTGAAGACCCTTTTCCCAAGAGTGCTTGGAAACCATCCGTTGCTTCTTCAAGCTCCTTGTAGCGGTACTTGGTTGGAACACCAGCGACCTTTCTTAAGAAACTGTACTCTATTCGGAGCTCTCTCCCTTCTGTCTTCAACTGTGACTCCAACAACCTCCTCCTGCGGTTGTAACGGTGTCTTATGAACGCGCACGAGAAGACAGCGAGGATCACAGCAATGGAAGCGCCGCATATGAGGAAGAAGGCCCTTGAGAGCTTTAGGGAGACGCGTGCAACGATGATCACTATGATCACTGCAATCACTGATATAACAGCGATTGTGTTAGCCTTTCTGTCCTCCATCACAACTTCATTTTTTGCCTTCTTTTTTGGTTTTAAGGTGAAAGAGTAAGCCAAAGGCAAAAGGGTCACTTTAATTTATGCTTCCAGCTTGGTGATGATGATCGGACAAGTTGAGGAGCTTAATTAGTTTTGTTTGTGAATGAGAATATACGGAAGCGATTAAGTGTTTAGTAATTATTAATTATTAATTTCGGTGATGGGGACTTTTTTTTTCTTTTCAAAACAGCTTAAAAGATTACCACTGTACTATAAAAATTTTAAAAATTTGAACTAAATTATAATTTCAACTGCATCAAATAATTAAAGTTCAGGTTAGTTTTTTTTATCCATCCCTAATTGATACTAAGTGGTAATGACTTGTCTCTTAATAAAATATTTAAAGTTTGAATTTTGATCTTAAGTATAAAAATAGATTATTTGGAAGAAAAAAAATTACATTGGTCTCCAACAAAATTTAATGACTACTTTTAACATTTATTTATTTATGTTGAGTGGAAGTAACCAAGATAGTACATAAGTGTGAGTTTGAGGGCAGATTGTATTTTTGAGAGCAAAGAATGGCTGCATGAAAGGCGCGGGGGGATTTGATTTGGTCAATATATGAGTTCTCCAAAATATAGACTTGTATAGTTGTGACAAAGGGGAATCCGTATTGAGAATAACTTGCTTTTATTTGGTCAACAATTGGGTTCCCTCACAATGCCGTTGGGCACTAAGGCCTGTAGGAATTAAATGACAAAGCTTTTTTGTCTCGTTGTTCCTTTCTCTTCCACGAAATTTATGGCTTCAACAATTATAATGATGGATCATGGAGGAGAGAGGAACCTTTCTATCTCAATTCTCAAGTGCGGTTATTTATGCCATGCCAATTTAATGACACAGAAAAATTAAAAATTACTGTAGTACGTTTTTTTAAGTGATTGCTTGGCTACCTAAATACAGCCTAGTAAAATTTGGTTTATAATTAAATGGAACTCTAATAGAATCAGAATTTTGATTTCTTGTCCCTTAGCAATAAGTTGTTATGCCCGATTTGATCCTAAAACTTATGTGAATATCACTATGTTAAATTTGATCATAAAATTTATGTGAATATATATATATATATGAGGAGGGTTCAAACGACACCGGTGTAACTTTAACTAAGTGTTACACCGCTCAATAACTTTATATTAAATGTGAATTTTGTAAATCCAATCGTTAGATTGAAAGTTCATATCTCTTAGATCATATATATCAAATTTTATATTAATCTAAGATGATTTGATACTTCATTCTCATAAAACAAAATTGACGTAATATATACATTTCAAAATATACTAAAATATGAACACTTTGATTACCTTCAAGTTGTTGTTCAATTTTAACAAAATTTGACATATATGATCTAAGAGATATGAACTTTCAATCTAACGGTTGGATTTACAAAATTCACATTTAATATAAAGTTATTGAGCGGTGTAACACTTAGTAAAAGTTACACCGGTGTCGTTTGAACCCTCCTCATATATATATATATATATAT